ACTACATAAATAAATAAATAATAAAAATAAATATTATTATATACATGTACTTTGTCTAAGCTGGTATCAGTCATTCACACTGATTTTAAAATAGTCTTTGATTGCTGCTTCATTTGTTCAATAGCAATCTCGTGTTTGTGATATCTGGACTGCTGATCCTAATCAATGAGATATCAAATCAAATCAATGAGATATCAGTGATCATATCATACCTCATAATCATTGTTAGCTTTGATACAATCAAGAGATGACACCACTAATACTATAGTACAGTACAATACACATCAATACATGAGGTGTGTGTCATTAATGCTAATATTTAGTCTCAAACATTGTCTCAACACTCCTCCAGTCTCCATGTTCATTCTAGTCTCAATCTCATGGTATTTATATTTATTGTTGAGTATCAGAACATCATACAAGAATAAAAACTGTTGTAATACTGTCTCAACTTGTAAGGAATCCTTCTAAAATAATAATAATGAATTATTTTATCATTTTACTTCATCAGGTATTTTTCTACTCCTTCTTTTATTAATGCCACACGTTTCAGTCACTAGTTTCATAATTCTACCAATCATTATTATAAAACTGTCAACATTAAGTACTAATAGTTGAACTGTGTTCTGAATCAGGTTAGTATTAGCTCGTTCAGTTAGTGACTTACTATATAAGGAAGCAATGAATTAATAATAATTAATAATTAGTTAATAACGTACTCATTCCACTTATCAATTATATTTTGAATTGATTTCAATATTTGTTCGAATTTTGAAAAGGTTCCAGTGATCTACTGACCAGACAAACTTTGGATACTTCTTCCCATGCATGTGACTGATGAGGCTTACATGTACCAGCCACCACTGTAGTGTTAGTATCAGTCTTAGGATCAGTGTTAGTATCAGTCTTAGGATCAGTGTTAGTATCAGTGTTAGTATCAGTGTTAATATCAGTGTTAGTATCAGCAGTGTTAGCAGTCAGTGTTGATTCCACAAGAGGTGAAATTGGCTGTGTTGATCTGCTCCAGTTATCTCAAGGCCAGTAGCACTGGTTGCGTTAAAATCTGATAATGATATTTCCGACTGTGATTCTAATTCAGAATCATCATCTGTTACACTTAAAGGGCAACCGACACGAAAAATTGGGTTGTGATTAAAAATCAAAAATATTTTCATTATGGTGTAGAATGGCTTGCAAAAATACTTTTGGTGCAAAATAATTGCTCTTTCCTGGATAAAAACTGCTTTTAAAATGCATAATTTACTTCCTCATTTCTGCATCCTGTATTTAGCAA